CACAGTGGCCTTTCCAGCATGGCAGTCTCATAATAAACTTCGTATATGGCGGCTCAGGCCTACAAGAGAATATGTTCCAAGAAAACTGAGTAGAAGATGCAAGTCTCATTGTGGCTTAACCTTGAAAGTTCAGGATAGTCTATTTTTGAAAATCCTCCATATTCTAATTTCCAAAGCAATCCACTGAGGTCAGCCCCCACTTAAGGGGTAAGGAATTAGACTCTACTCTCGATGGAAGGAAAGCAGAGTATGAGGCCAACTTTAATCTACATAAAACTAGACCAACTGATTAGGCACCTGGGCACAGCAATTATCCCTAGACTCCCTCTGTCTGGAATGCTTATGGCTCGGTGGACAGCATTTACTTCTGCAGTGTGGTCTGGTTCTCTGCCAATGGAAGATGAATCCAAATCCCCAGATATGAGCAGTTGGATTCATGTGTTCTACTGCTGCTCCATTTTTTCTTCACTGAGCCATTATGATCAAAAAAAGTCTTTGTGTAAGTTTTTTTGTTTTTTTTAAGTGTCTATTATTTATTAGTTTTAGAGCTTTTCCCAGTCATGGACTACAGAAAATGAGAGCTTTAAGGGACCCCAGAAATAAAATCTGGTCCTACTTTTGAGAGAAAGCGATACAGAGCATGAGTGGGGGAGGGGCAGAGAGAGATAGAGACACAGAATCCCAAGTAGGCTCCAGGCTCTGAGCTGTCAGCACAGAGCCTGATGTGGGGCTTAAACTCATGGACTGCAAGATCATGACCTGAGCTGAAGTCAGATGCTTAACTGACTGAGCCCCCCGGGTGTCCCAAATCTGGTCCTATTTTATAGTTGAGGTTTAGGTTTAAAGTTAGGTTTAAAGTAGGTCACAGTTTGTGACCTGTCCAAGGTCAGAAACTGATTAGGGACAGAGCCACAGCTGGGATCTCCTGCAGCATGCTTGAAGGGAGGCAAACCTTTTTATCTATAGAATGGGTACTCTGTTCACCTGATTGTTTCCCCTAGAAATAGACCATTGGCTTTGATTCAGTCTCCCATTTTATCATGAAATATTTAAAAAGAAACTACTTACTTTAAGTGCACCAATTTATAAGACATAATCTTATATATCTAACCTATTTTCTCAGTTCCTATTCAATAAATGTTTACCAAGTACCTGCCAAGTTGTGGTATATATACACAGTTGTGGTATATATACACAGACATGACTGCTTTCAAGAGGTTGTCTTTCCAGTTAGAAGGCCATAACACAAAGTTTACACTAGTCACTTTGCTGTGGGATATTGAATTCATCATGCTATTTTATCTTTAAGTATTTCTAGAACATGTTTTCCCTCCTCCTTTCATTTACAGAACAGACCAAGAGGCCTACCATTCTGAGTTTTTATTCTACTCAGAGTATAGATTTGGAGTGGGTAATAGTAATAACAATCCACAGATCAATGAAGAAGTTTAGCTATTATTGCTCCTTTTGTTTCAAGAGATGTTTGCTCATTAGATGAGGTGACAGATAGCTTTGACTTTATCTAGTCCATGGGGTCTCTAGGTGGCTGCCCTAAATACCTGCAGTCGTGGTAGCTGGGATTTTCTGTTGATGTGTGGTGCCCCATCACCATTAGCTTTTGTCTTCTTCTGCTGTGGCTAATTTATCTTTTTCCCGGACCAGCCGGGAGAGGGGGAGGAGGTGTGGACAGGACTGGCCTCCAGACTGTGCTAACTGTCTTCGATAACACGTCCACCCCAGCCGTGGCTCCCCGAGCTGGGCGGGACCACTCTTCCCGCTCAGCTGGGAGGAGCCCCAAGCTGGTTGCCCTGCCCGGGTAGGGGTGGAGAGGAGCGGGTGAACAGCAGCAGATCCCGATCCTTCCCTGGAGACGTCAAAGGCCCCGCGAAGGCAGGCCTTCCGGGGAGGTGGGGGGAAGGGGAAAGTGAGGTGTGTCCCCGGGGCTGAGGCTGTCAGCGCTCAGGCCAGGTGGGGGTGGGGAGAGTGGAGGCACTACGCTCCCCAGGGATCCGGGCCGGCGCCGGTTCCCGCGGGTGGGGAGAGGAAGGAACCAGATGGGCGGGTTCAAGCGTCGGCGGCGGCGGTCCCGGGGCCGTCGGCTCCTCCCCGCGAGTGTGCCTGTCTGCCGCTCGCCGCGCTGAGGCAGTGCGGTGGCGGGCGGGCCGAGGCTGCCGCCCAGCGCCCTGGCCGCGGCCATGCCCGGGCCCTAGCGCGCCTGCCGCAGCC